GGTCCGGTCTCAGACCTCAAATGCATAAAACATGAACCTTTATACAGTAGACATACTAGTGTTTCTTGCGTAAAGACAATGCTGTACTTATACAAACAAGAAGATATTTATTTACCCTTGCAAGACGTTCAGCTGCTCTGCTGTGGAACTTCAGTTCACTGCACTCAGTCAGTCAAGACAGGGGGCGGAGTTATGAGGTTTGACTGACAGTTTGAGCGGATCCAACAAGATTTAGTCACAAACTCTTTTTAATACCTTTCATTCGCTAAATATATTTGTAAAACAGACAGACAGACGTAAAGGGTGACCAATAGCATTGATTTATTGAAGAACAAAAAAAACAAAAAAGGGCACTTCGGAGTGTAAGGACAAAAAGGGCATGTGCTCTGCACAGGTTGAGCCCTACCTGTGCACGTGCCTGAGTATGTGTGTTCCCTGGGAATTGAACCCACGGCCTTTTGCGCTGCTAACGCAATGCTCTACCACTGAGCCACAGGAACAGAATAATAGTAATGTTAATAATGTATAAACGTATGTTTAAATAAATGTCATGAAAACTTTTTTTTATAATTTAGACTTTTAAGATTTAGACTTAAAACTGCAATTTACATGTTCACATACAATTTTTTATTTGAGTGTTGATTATTATAACTAAAAAAAGGTCAATTTAATGTAATAGTTTGGGCTCTATTGTTAATTGTAAGCTAAGTGCGCAAGTAATAGGGTTCCCTATATAGTTTACAACATTAGTTGAGAAATGTAATTCTAATTATATTTAAAGACAATATATTTTAAAGCCAAAATTTGTTGACTGTTCAGAAATGTATGCCCCCCTCCCCCCACCTCACACTACCAAAAAAGTACAGGACCGTGACTTCAAAACCACGGTATGCACTAAACCATCAATTCTTGCTTACCTTTACACCCCTAATAAATAAGCTTTGTATAATCTATGCTTCATGAAAAAAAATGCTGTATACAAAGAAGAGCCTTGTGTCACTAGTTACTTTTTTCTTTCTTTAATGGTACAATTTACACAACCTAAATGGAGTGGGAGTGGTTCAATCAGTCCCGTTAAGACTAGTAAAGAAAGACAGAAACAAAGAAATGATAGAAAAGAGAATAACCTGCAGATGGCTGACTGACTGTAGGCGGGACCCTCCGTAGCGGTGAGAGCCTGACCCACTTGAGTCTGTGTCAACCCCAGAGAGAGCCGTCGAATCTTAAAATTCTTGGCAAACTCTCGGATCTCCTCCAGATTAATGGCCTCTTCTTCATTCACAGCAGACTGTGGTTCTTAATGAAAACAAAAATTGAATTAGGACTTTGGATTCTCTCCAGATCATAAACAACATGAGTAATTTACCCACGAGTCACTGAAGCATCAATCTTCAAAACTGAAATCTGATCTAACCGCACCTGACAGAATTGCTCCTATTCAATTACGTGACTGAAAAAGGTTGCTTGCAGTATTGCATTTACATTACATAAACAGTAAAGTACTAGAAAAACATAAACCTACTGCTGACAAGCTGCCCCACGGTAGGCATGTCTCCACAGACGATGGCACCGGTAGAGGTGAGGGATGTGACTGATTTAACCACTTGCGGCTGGGGAGCAATAATGACTTTAGATGGCGCCACTTTCCCAACAGGACCCTAGAGAACAAATCACAGTCCATTACCAAATATGACAATCATTTCAGAAATATTTCACATTCTGCGAGTGGCGTTAAAAGCTTGTTCAGTTTTATCTGAAACCGATGAACATGAATGCAACATTTTATTACATTGCTTGTTGTATGTATCATGCCAGTTCAGAAATTAAACGTCTGCTGAGTGGTGTTAAAAAGTGGGAAAATAAGTAATTATTAATCAGTAATATGGCCCTGTAATCATAATGAAGGTATTTTAATGCCACTTGTGTTCATTTCAGTTAATTGTATGTATGGATACATTTTTGGAAACACATTTTACAATGATCCTACGTTGGCATTTTAAATGCATGATAGGGCATTGCTAGATGGATGCCAAGCAGTTGCTAAGGTCTTCTTGGGTGCTATGCATACAAAAGAAAGATATATTTATCCTTAAAAAAAGTACAAAAATGGTGCACAGACTGCACAAAATGTTTATTGTGTGTTTACAGACTAATGAAGAGCCACAGTGGGCGCACTTCAGTACCGGTGTGCTGGTCTTGGTGAGTGTCAGGGGCACAGTGGCTTTGGGGAGGACGGAGGCGGCGGACGGGGCAGCAGCTGTTGGACCGCATACAAAAGAAAGATATATTTATCCTTAAAAAAAGTACAAAAATGGTGCACAGACTGCACAAAATGTTTATTGTGTGTTTACAGACTAATGAAGAGCCACAGTGGGCGGCACTTCAGTACCGGTGTGCTGGTCTTGGTGAGTGTCAGGGGCACAGTGGCTTTGGGGAGGACGGAGGCGGCGGACGGGGCAGCAGCTGTTGGACTGTTTCCTATTGTAGCAATGATCTGGCCCTGGGAGTTGAGGAGCAGCTGTGGGCACACAGTCTGGAGCTGCAGACCTTGAGCAGGTAACGCAGAGGCTGCTGCAGCTCCAGCCAGTGATGCAGGGTTGACCAGCAGGGGAAGTGTTCCAATTACCTGAAACACAGGTATGAAAATGATGAGACTGATATGTAAAAATTGTGTGAGAAGGCTTTCCCTTAGGAACAATGTGTCTATTAAATGAACAAATATATTTAAATGTAATACTAACTTGGCCCTGTGCATTGGTAATGAGTTGACCTGTGAGTCCTGCCACATTAGACATGGCACTGGTGATGATGGGAGTTGTAGTGAGAGAGCTGATGAACTGAGGCTGAGCTCCCAGAGAAGCTGCACTAATCTGAAGGAGGAAAAACACTCCTGATTAGATTAGACTGAATTCATTATGAAATTATCTTTAGTAATTTAAGACTAGATGCATTTCCTGAAAGAAAATGCCATTATTGTAAAGCAGCAAGAGAGTGTTTTAGATGAGCTTAAGTTTAAGGTTTTAGAATATTTCCATAAACTTTCTATCTAGTGTGCATATGATTTATGAAATATTTATCTTTCCTTGTTTCTTTTTTTTCTTCTTTTATATAATCTAAAAAAATATAAAACAATAAATTAATAACGAATAACAAAATCTACTACTAATAATAATAACAACAATTATTATTATTATTATTGTCTATAGAAACTATAGTCAATCTTCTCAGAAATAAGATTTATTCAAATCTTAACAGAAATATTCAAACATAATTGTAAGTAATCAAGCCCTGGAATACTAAGGGCCAGATTTACTAACAGCTTGCGCCAGCGTAAACCATCTTTTGGCGTTCAGGATTTACTAAAGACGCGTAGTGAAGAATTAGCGCTGAAAAGGCGTGGACAGTTATTTTTACGCCTGACCTTATTAAATATACATTTGTAGGAGTTTCCCTTTCAGATGCAAAATTTATGACAGGAGAGTATTAAAATGAATCACGCAACGCGGTTTACTAACATTTGCACTCGTCAAATTACTGGTATTTGCGTAATTATTTAACACCCAAAAAAGCATGTCTTAAAGCAGGTGGTAATTTGTGCTGCTCTTGGTAGATTGCGCTGGTCATTATGGAAATGATCTGGCTGCATCCGTGTTCTTTAATGTGCGCATTGTCAGTAAATCACACACAGACTCTTCCCCTCCCATCAGCGCTTTTATGCAATTGCGCTCTAACGCTAATTTGCCATTTAGTAAATCTGCCCCTAAAACTTTTGACTAGCTAACTAAATAAATAAACAAAATGTGCTTTGTTTTGAAGTTGGACCTTTTTTGGTCTTTTTTCCAACTCACCTATCAATTACTTGAAGGTGTGTGAGGGTGTTTGTTGTTTAATATAAATAGTGAAAATCTATAAAAAAGTTAAAATCTATACTATTTCGTCCACAAAAAAAATCAATAAATGCTAAAATCAAAAACTATTTTTTAGATGAATTGTTGATATGAAAGCAGTCTTCAAGAAACTGCTTCTTGAATATCCAATACTAGCCAGTAAATTTTTTTAATTGGTTAGCACCCCATTTCGTCCCAATATATTGCACATTTCCATTTCAAAATCCAATTTTCCACATATATGATACAACTGAACCCAATTACATGTTTCTATCCACAACAGAAGCGTTCCCTACTCACAATAGCAGGGTTGATGGACAGGCCTGCAGTCTGAAGTGTTGCGACCGAGGCACTGGGCTCTGACACCTTCTGAACAACAGACGCAGTGGTGGCTGGTATGGTCTGCGTTGGCTGCACAGCCGCCTGCACCGCAGACACCTGGGGCTGCAGGACTGCCTGCGCAGGTGACTGCAGCTGCGTCTGGAGAGCGTTCAACACAGTAGCAGCTGGAAGAGAAAAACAAGCTGTTGTAACAGTTAAAAATAAATAGTTTTTCTGAGATTGTCTGCTCAGTAAAACACCTTGTACCATTAAAATGTTCACTATTCTGAACTACTGACTGGCCTGAACAAGTCACCATTTCATATAAACATAAAATGCTGCCCTTAATCCATGTATTTTAAATTGAATTCCATGGCATCAGAATTTTGCGCAGGATCAATATGCAAAATTTGCTTCAGCACCATACCTTGCAGTCCTGCAAATGGCAGCTTCAGCAGTCCTCCGGCAGGGCTGGCTGCAGCGAGACCAGGGAGGGTGGCGACAGTGGCGGTGGGCCAGGTGAGCACTGCCAGACCCCCCTGACCCCCCACAGATCCAGCCATACTCAGAGGTATGAGCAGGGGCTGACCCAGAGAACCCTGCTGGGCAAGCATGCCAGTCATCAGAGAGGCCAAACCATCCTGAGTCAGGACCTGGCAAGGTAATGGCATACAGATTTATTTATTCTGAGAAAGGTTTTTCAATTGTTTTGACATTAATAGGTATTTTTCTGACATTCTGCACCAATGTTGTTATAGTCACTTAAAACTGTTATAAATCAGTTTTGTTAATAGAAAAACTGAAATAATATTAAACAAACATTAGATGGAAAAAAATATTTTTTACCATTGCAACTAACTGAAACAAACAAGTCTAAAGGCTGTATTTTACATTTTAAACAAGGCATCACACACTAGCCAACTTTGTAAATGGTTACAAAAGATGCTGATGCTAAAAGCGTCGACTCATTCAGACTGTAATCAAAGGAAAAAATCGGAACAAAAGTCATGAAGTGTATTTCAGCCTTAAGGTCCTTGCATACTGAGTCCGAAATTTTCGGAAGCGTGTTTATGGTTCATCCTTTCCTATCAAAATGCTTGCTACAGATGTGAAAATGCAGAAAACTGAACCTGATCCAATTTATTTTATGATGGACGAAAGTTTCAGAGGCAGTGTTTAAACATGATTGACACAACGTGAGGTTGTATATATTTTTTAATGTGTGAGAATTTCGGACTCAATGTGCAAAGACCTTTAAGCTGAAGTACTAAAATTACTAAAACAAAATAAAAATGCATTAAACATAACAAATAAAAACTCAAACTTGAACTAAAATCACAATATACACTGATGAAATAGCTAATTTAAAATATTACATTTACATTTTACATTTAGTCATTTAGCAGACACTTTTATCCAAAGCGACTTACAAATGAGGACAATGGAAGCAATCAAAATCAACAAAAGAGCAATGATATGCAAGTGCTATAACAAGTCTGTTAGCTTAACACTGTACACGTAGCAAGGTTTTTTAAAAAGACAACAGACAGAACAGAAAAAGAATAGAGTAAGCTAGTGTTAGAGGCCTTTTTTGCTTTTGTTAATTGTATAATAAATAAAAAGAAAACAGACGGAATACAAAAAGATTAGAGAATCTAGTGTAAGGTTTTTTTTTTCCAAGAAAACAAGCAGTTAGTAAATGAATAGAGTGCAAGTCTAAAAGGGACAATTTTTTTTAAAGAATAGAGAGTGCTAGAGTTAAGATAAAGATGGATAAATATGAATAAATACTATAATGGTACATAAATAATAATAAAATAACACTGATTTACACTTATTTGCTAAATTAATTAATTTAAAGCAAGTGTTTTTAACATTTACAGAGCTAGGTACTCCTCACTAGAGCTGCACGATTCTGGATAAGCTGAGAATCATGATCATCAAATAGAGATCATTATTCTCGCACGATTCTGAACTAAGCAAAATAACATGGAATTTACTAGAGACTGTGACAAAATATATTAAAAAAATGTTTGACTGAATGATTCAATGACTCGATCATAAATACTTCACTTGTTCCATTACTGAATGAATCAGCATTTTTAAAGAAATTTCTTGAATGGATGATTCAATCACAAATAAATTTAACAGTCTCTAAGTCGCCACCTAGTGGCAAAACAATGTTATCAATATTGTAATCAACAAACGTTATTTGAAGCGGCAATTTGAAGCGAAAACTGCTTTCAAAAGGTGATTTGCTCCATTTTGACTGCTACGATAGACATCATTATTTATTTCAGTATTTATTTCTTATTATATTAACATTTTTGCACTACATAATGCTTAGTGGATCACTTGTAAATGTTAATTTAGAAAGTTAGAAATATGATATGAACATCCTTAAGGTCATTCAAATATGAAGACCAGAGTCAGAAATGATCAAGAGCTTGAGGCAATGCTGATGCTAAAAGCGTCGACTCATTCAGACTGTAATCAAAGGAAAAAATCGGAACAAAAGTCATGAAGTGTATTTCAGCCTTAAGGTCCTTGCATACTGAGTCCGAAATTTTCGGAAGCGTGTTTATGGTTCATCCTTTCCTATCAAAATGCTTGCTACAGATGTGAAAATGCAGAAAACTGAACCTGATCCAATTTATTTTATGATGGACGAAAGTTTCAGAGGCAGTGTTTAAACATGATTGACACAACGTGAGGTTGTATATATTTTTTAATGTGTGAGAATTTCGGACTCAATGTGCAAAGACCTTTAAGCTGAAGTACTAAAATTACTAAAACAAAAACAAAATAAAAATGCATTAAACATAACAAATAAAAACTCAAACTTGAACTAAAATCACAATATACACTGATGAAATAGCTAATTTAAAATATTACATTTACATTTTACATTTAGTCATTTAGCAGACACTTTTATCCAAAGCGACTTACAAATGAGGACAATGGAAGCAATCAAAATCAACAAAAGAGCAATGATATGCAAGTGCTATAACAAGTCTGTTAGCTTAACACTGTACACGTAGCAAGGTTTTTTAAAAAGACAACAGACAGAACAGAAAAAGAATAGAGTAAGCTAGTGTTAGAGGCCTTTTTTGCTTTTGTTAATTGTATAATAAATAAAAAGAAAACAGACGGAATACAAAAAGATTAGAGAATCTAGTGTAAGGTTTTTTTTTTCCAAGAAAACAAGCAGTTAGTAAATGAATAGAGTGCAAGTCTAAAAGGGACAATTTTTTTTAAAGAATAGAGAGTGCTAGAGTTAAGATAAAGATGGATAAATATGAATAAATACTATAATGGTACATAAATAATAATAAAATAACACTGATTTACACTTATTTGCTAAATTAATTAATTTAAAGCAAGTGTTTTTAACATTTACAGAGCTAGGTACTCCTCACTAGAGCTGCACGATTCTGGATAAGCTGAGAATCATGATCATCAAATAGAGATCATTATTCTCGCACGATTCTGAACTAAGCAAAATAACATGGAATTTACTAGAGACTGTGACAAAATATATTTAAAAAATGTTTGACTGAATGATTCAATGACTCGATCATAAATACTTCACTTGTTCCATTACTGAATGAATCAGCATTTTTAAAGAAATTTCTTGAATGGATGATTCAATCACAAATAAATTTAACAGTCTCTAAATCGCCATCTAGTGGCAAAACAATGTTATCAATATTGTAATCAACAAACGTTATTTGAAGCGGCAATTTGAAGCGAAAACTGCTTTCAAAAGGTGATTTGCTCCATTTTGACTGCTACGATAGACATCATTATTTATTTCAGTATTTATTTATTATTATATTAACATTTTTGCACTACATAATGCTTAGTGGATCACTTGTAAATGTTAATTTAGAAAGTTAGAAATATGATATGAACATCCTTAAGGTCATTCAGATATGAAGACCAGAGTCAGAAATGATCAAGAGCTTGAGGCAAAAATGACACTGAAAGTGGCCTCTAATATTTTAAAGGGGTCCTAATATGCTTTTTTCCCTTTTCAACTTTAGTTAGTCTGTAATGTCACTGTTTGAGCATAAAAAAGATCTGCAAAGTTACAAAGCTCAAAGTCCACTTCAAAAGGAGATATTTTATTTAACAGAAATCACTTTTCAAAAACTACAACGAACAACTCGTTTGGACTACAACGCATATTTTCTGTGATTTGTGAAATCACAAATATCGACGAATGGGACGAGACCTGGTTGAGCTGCACTCGAGAAGGCAACGAGTGTTATCACTATGTCGGAGACACGCTAGTTTTCCCAAGGCAGATGAACTTAGAGTGGTTTCAATCATCCGGGTTTAATCGCGCTCTAATTGATTTAATATTGACGCAATATTTACACTGAAGCTCGGTAAGGCAGCTCTGGTAAGGGGCATGATATTTCCCGACCAGGCACCGAGTGGTGCCAATCACATAAAAAAGATGCCATTAAACAAATACAAAAAATATACTCTTAAATAAAGTTTTTATGTTGTTTCTACATTAAAGATTGAATGTGAAATTATTGCAATATAAAAGTATATTTAACTTTAATGTTAGGTGGGATTAATCACAATTAATTTCAGAAAAAATATATATGATTATAAAAAAAATTATTTATTGACAGCACTAATTTTAAAATATGTTAAAACAGAAAGCAGCTATTTTAAATTGAAATTGTATTTAAAATTTTAAATATGACACAATATTACTCTTTTTACTGTATCAAACAAATGCAACTTTTAAATGGTAGTGTATTATAATATAGCACGATGCAGTTTTGAAGCTTTTGCTCAGCTTAATGTTTGATTTTTATTAAGCTTTTTATTAAGAACATTCCTCGATCATGTTTCAGTCAAGATCAGAGAAACATCACAGGAGCAAATGCAGGGCTCAGGCAGAGAGGGAAGCTCAGCTCAGCTCAGCGCAGCACAGAGAGCAGTACAGACTCAGGAGAAGGTGCATACCTGGTCGTCTTGTGCTGGGAATTTCAAAGTGCAGGAACCTAAAAGCTGAGAAAACACTTCTGCAGTCAGACAGTGAATGGCTAAAGAGAACAGAGATGCCAAGCACACGTTAGGACACAAAGAATCAACCCAACAAGGACACAAGTGACATGAGTACAGCAAACAAACGAGAGCGTCTGCCCAAAAATAAGCAATGCTTTCTGCAAACACCTCACCACCAAAAGAGAATTGCTTGTGCTGTGAATGTAGACTGAACACTCACACATGTGGGGCATGAGGCTGGACATGTGATGAAATGTTAAAGTACATCTGTGTTTTGGTAACACTTCATGTAAGTAGTGAGAATAGTATGGGAATTATGACTTGACTCAGGAATACCTGTTCATTGACGGTGAGTGGCGCATTGTTTGCAGGGAGATCCTCAGTGTCCATGATGAAGTCTAAGCTCTGAGGAGATCACTGATTCTGCATAGTGGTTGAAGGGGATGTTATCAGCTCCACAGTACCCCTGAGACAAAGAAGCTAGTCAATAAAAATTCCTGACAGCACTAGATAGATACTTTTATCTCCACCATGATATAAAAGTTGACCCCATTTAATTAAATTCAATTACATTACAGTAACTTTTCATCAAGAGCTTTTATATTTTTTTTAGCCCCTCAGTTACAACCACCTGTCAGAGACCATTTTTCACAATTCAGGGAATTGTAGGAAGTCCCATCCTACATTATTTAACCGCCTGGGGTCAGCAAAGACACCGGCGGGAGCACTTGCATATTTTCCAGATGACAGAAAAAAGAACTTAAAATGCTCCGTCGCTTTTGATTGGACACATAAAAGTTATACATCACTTGAATCTGTAAAGGGTCTACTTTTATTTGTGTATGCGCACTAGGGCTGTGCAAATAATCGAATGCGATTTTCATGTGCATCTCGTCAGTAAAGCCGGTTCTGTGATTAGTAGTAAATCTCCAGCACGTGCTTTCAGATGGAGCGGCATTTACTACACAGATCCGTAGTTCACTGACACTGCCGATTAAGAACGCGATATTGCGTAGCTTTTCAGTGATCTACGGCTCTGTGTAGTAAATGCCGCTCCATCTGAAAGCACGTGCTGGAGATTTACTACTAATCACAGAACCGGCTTTACTGACGAGATCTCCAGCACGTGCTTTCAGATAGAGCGGCATTTACTACACAGATCCGTAGTTCACTGACACTGCCGATTAAGAACGCAATATTGCGTAGCTTGTCAGTGATCTACGGCTCTGTGTAGTAAATGCCGCTCCATCTGAAAGCACGTGCTGGAGATTTACTACTAATCACAGAACCGGTGTTCTGACGATTTGTACTACCCGCTCAGATTCTGCAACCTCCCATTAAAAAGATAGGTAGCACAAATCGATAGCGAAAAATGCTGTGTGTCAGATTGTGCTACCAGCATCTTATTCATGTGGTTTGAGGCTTTTTTTAATGTACCGTCCATACCTACCCTTACCCTAAACGTACCCTTAAAACAATGCAAATATATTTTTGGTAGCACAATCTGATAGGTAGCATGTTTTGTCGGTACACCGGCTTTACTGACGAAATGCGCATGAAAATAGCATTTGATTATTTGCACAGCCCTAAGCTCACCATAATCAACTAAACTTTGTGCTTTTGTAAAATAAAGAAAAAAACCAGAGTGCGCTTTCATTTTTCACTGTCTCCGCGAACTGCGCGTCACTAAAATGAACTGAAACTGAAATGTCTACTCTTAAATGAAGTAACTCTTACCAAAAACACATTTTCTGTGATAAAGTAATCTGTATGAAACCAACCACATGTCCAGTTTTTCTAAGCTCATTATCTATCTATTAATTAGATCACACCCATTGTTCTTCGCGCTATTGATATCACAAATCTCCACGTGAGACACATCACCCCACATCACCGTAAACAAAGCAGCAACATGTTCATCTCGGATACTTTTCATTTTTGGAAGAAGACGCTGAGATGAATTAGCCTTGTATTTACCTCAGAAGAAGACGCACTGAGAGGAATAAGCCTTGTATTTACCTCAGAAGAAGACACTGAAAGGAATAAGATTTATGTTTACCTCAAAAACAGAATGCGAGCGTCGCTTGAGTCAACGGAGGAGATCTTTTATGCCGAGTAAGTAACGTCTCTTATTGGCATTAGATAATGTGTTGTTGTGACATAAACTTGAACGCATTTACTAGTTGGACTCTTCCCAAACTATAATTCCTGACTAAAATGTGTGAAATCGAGTGCAACATTTTGAAATATGATAGGCAACCTTTCACTGCATCTAAATGTTGTATGGCGTAAGGATGGTTTTATGTTCTTTAAACAATACGATATAAAAGTAATGTTTAGATGATATAAAAGTAATGTCTAAGAATGTTTAGACCAATCTTCTCAGTGAAATACTCTGTCTGCATATATCTCCTCAAACACGTCTATAATGTGATTAACAATAATAACGTGGGCAATATTAGTGATTGCTAATGTAATAATATAGTTGCTCCTGATAGTCCTATCAACATGCTCACTCACTTATTTATTTATTTAATTTGAGTGGGTAGTGCGGTCAAACTATGAATCGTGATTAATCGCATCCAAACTAAAAGTTTTTGTTTACATAATATATGTGTGTCTACCGTGTGTATTTATAATGTATATATAAATACAAACACATGCATGTATATATTTAAGAAAAATATGTTATGTTTATATATTAAATATATTTATATATAATATAAAATATAAGAATATAAATATATAAACACGTAAATATTTTCAAAATATATACTGTATGTGTATTTATTATACATAATAAATATACACAGTACACATACATATATTATGTAAACAAACTTTTATTTTGGATGTTGGGGGGGTTTAAGAAATGATAGAAATTAAGGTTTATTTAGCAAGGACGCTTTAAATTGATCAAAAGTGATGATAAAAAAATATCAAAATATTTCTATTTCAGATAAATGCTGTTCTTCTGAACATTCTATTCATCAAAGAAACCTGAAAAATTCTACTCAGCTGTTGTCAACATAATAATAATAATACTACTAATAATAAATGTTTTTGAGCAGCAAATCAGAATATTCGAATGATTTCTGATGGATCATGTGACACTTAAGACTGGAGTAATGATGCTGAAAATTCTGCTTTGAAATCACAGGAATAAATTACATTTTATAATACATTCAAAAATAAAACAGTTATTTCGAATTATCATACTATTCGATTATTTTGAATAGTAAAAATATTTCAAAATGTTACTGTTTTGCTGTACTTTGGATCAAATAAATGCAGGCTTGGTGAGCAGAAGACACTTCTTTAAAATACATCACAAATCTTACTGTTTAAAAACTTTTGACTGGTAGTGTACACATATATATACTGTCACCATGTTTGCTCGGTCTTTGTCCGATCATTGTGTTGCTCACGTTCATTTGTTTTCTTGTGCAGTTTCTGCTGTCTCCTGTTTTCCTGCATTCCAGTTTCCTGCCGCTGTTTTGGATAATTTGGATATTGCACTCAAGACGCCTTGACTCCTTTGTTTGTTTGTTCCTAATAAACTGTTTACCTGCACTCGCAAGTGAATCTCAAGTTATTTTGTGTGATGGTTTTATATATTATATAATATATTCTAAATAAACTACAAACAAAAAAATTTATAAATTTCTTTTGTCCTCACATTCTTTTTTGTAGCAATTCCCTCTCAGTCACATACCTGACTGAAAGGCTCATTATGCAGCTCATTATGTGGGCCTTTGTCTTCTCAGGTGTGAATCACACTATTATTCATTATCATTCACGCCTCCTCACACACAGCTGTTCCATACAAAAAGTGACTTAGAAAATGAGTGAACAAGATGATTTTCACATCATTTTGAAGCAAAAACTCTAGGCTACAAGATCCAGTTCTCGAAAGTCTTTTGAACAAAATGTTCTCTATGTGGCCTTATATGGCCTTCTTCAAGTGATACATTTTTTTTTAGGTTTTCACTAACCACACATAAACATTGCTTTCTCAAAAACACACTCATGTACATGCATGCTGCTCACATATTATTGTACCCCAGTTTGTGCTGATTACAGTGTTATATGACTTTAGCCATTTATATGTTTATAAGCAACTGAAAAAGCACAAATGTCAGGGCATGTCAAAACTTCTCCAGGGCCCTAAAACACCCTCAGACCCCAGAGGGTTAATCACTGAATATCTCTTTTTAATTGGAAATACTTCTAGATATGGAAGGTAAAAAAGTATGTGATTTAGCACAGCTAAATCCGACAAATATTCTATTTCAATCAGCAATGCTTTACAATGTGGAAAAAAATATATTTTAAATAGGCCTATTAAGTTTTAAAGATTAAAATAAATATATATATATATATATATATATATATATATATGATTTAGTGCAAATAAATCTGACAAATATCCCATTTCAATCAGAAATACTTGAAAATATGGAAGATACATTATTTCAAACATTTTTAAAGGTAAAATAAATCAAAAGTAAGTGATTTAGTGCACCTAATTCTGATATCTAATTTTAATCAGAAATACTTCACAATATAAAAGAAAATTATCATTTAAATATTAAGTCATAAACGTAAAAAATTGCACTAAACCACTTTTTTTACTTTTATAACTTAATTTTTTAAGTAAATATAATTTTTTTCTTCCACATTATGAAGTATTTCTGGTTTAAATAGGATATTTCTCCGAATTTGTTGCACTAAATCACATAAATATCCCATTTCGATTAGAAATACTTCACAATATGGAAGAAAAATTGTGATTTAAAATACAGTATTAGGTTATAAAGGTCAAAGAAAATAAATGTGATTTAGTGCAACTAATTCTAACAGACATCTCATTCTAATCAGAAACACTTCACAAAATGGAAGATAAATGTTGATTTAAATATTAAGTTATTAAGTTAGAAACTGCCATGTGATTCAGTTGCACTAAGTGTAACAAATAATTTCCAAACAAGGATCCTTTTATAGTTTTCTAAAAAAAAAACAACAACAAAAAAACATTACAGTAGAGTTCTTCACCGTTAGTTGTCTCACAAGGTTATCACAAAATGAATATCAAGTTTATTTAAAATGTAAAATATGATTGTGAATAGCAGCAAACCTTCACCATGGTAAACTTTCTGCTAGGACAGCTTCAATAACATTACATATTACATTTATTATTCTTTTACAGTAATAACTTTAAGTATAAATACTATGGTGTTTTGGCAGGAACTATGAATACCTTGGTAAATCTTTTTTTTCAAGGTTGTCAACTTAAAATATTAGAATCCCAAATAACTGGAGGAACGTAATCACAGTTCTTAAGAATTTGGCAGGCTACATTATTTCTAAATAAAAATCGACCGAGCATGTTCGAATGTCATCACTGTGCAAGTGCAATTTAAGATGCATGTCTTGCCTTAAAAATGTGCGCATGTAATTATCCTAAAAACAATGGAGCATTATATAAGCCTTGCGCATTTTCACATCAAGCAGGCCTGTGAGGTACTAGTGCAGCCCTCCCAACACATTCACAATACAATAATAAAAACTCTCCTCGCGGGACACACTTCTTCATCTACTGATCACACACTCCTCACATATGCCACGACTCGGGACGGCATTTGATGTATTTCCTTTCTCTTTATCATAAATATATAAATTATGCTAATTAAGACCATTGCATATTAACCAACTTTCTGCTAGGACAGCTTCAATAACATTACATATTACATTTATTATTCTTTTACAGTAATAACTTTAAGTATAAATACTATGGTGTTTTGGCAGGAACTATGAATACCTTGGTAAATCTTTTTTTTCAAGGTTGTCAACTTAAAATATTAGAATCCCAAATAACTGGAGGAACGTAATCACAGTTCTTAAGAATTTGGCAGGCTACATTATTTCTAAATAAAAATCGACCGAGCATGTTCGAATGTCATCACTGTGCAAGTGCAATTTAAGATGCATGTCTTGCCTTAAAAATGTGCGCATGTAATTATCCTAAAAACAATGGAGCATTATATAAGCCTTGCGCATTTTCACATCAAGCAGGCCTGTGAGGTACTAGTGCAGCCCTCCCAACACATTCACAATACAATAATAAAAACTCTCCTCGCGGGACACACTTCTTCATCTACTGATCACACACTCCTCACATATGCCACGACTCGGGACGGCATTTGATGTATTTCCTTTCTCTTTATCATAAATATATAAATTATGCTAATTAAGACCATTGCATATTAACCAAAAACTCATTTCGAGTCCCGAGACTTCGTATTGCGTTGTGCAAAAATAACGTGCAAGCTGTGATCATATTCACGACTTACCCGCTGAAAGGTGGGATATTTTCTTTATTTCTCCTCCTTCGTCGAGCTTTGCCAGTTTGTTTTAAATATGCATAATTAAAAATTCACCTCACAGCTTCCGACGCGCGCTACGAACGCACACAAAAGAGCTATTTGCATGGATAAGGAGGCTCGGGAAAGCGCTGGTCCTCTTTTTAACTACATATTTAATGACGTCTCTCTGTTAACTGTCGTGCCGGTGAAGCAAGCGCACCTTAATAGCCAAGGTAAACCCTTATCTGCAGAAAAGTGGCGGAAAATTAACACAAATTTGCTCTTTTGCACTACGTCATGAACATAATTTATGCAGGCCGAGTCTCGCATTGAAAAAATGGCGCTGGCTCGACAGAACAGGAGCAATGGCCGTCTTAAAGGGACAGTACACAGTTACTGCAGTTCACTGCACTTGATTCAGACTGCAATATTGCTACAGTGTGAGGTTATGCTTTCACTGTAAAATTAATCACATTAATGAAGAGATCAGTTTATTTTGTATGAATTATTATTGTTTATCAAAATATATTATTTTAATGATATAATATAATAAAGCTTATTATATATAATGCTTATTATTACTATTATTATGTTTTTTGTGCCTTTAATGTGATAATGTGACTATTATTGTGTTGTTTTCCCAAAACAATGATGTGAATAAAAAGTATAAGTATTTGAAATATTAACATTCGTGTCATTCTATTCATGCAGTTTTTAACTTTTAAAGAAAATCATATAGGTGATTTTTATTACATGATAAAATGTAATATATACAGATAAACAGAACAAAATAGACAATTAAGTTGCTCACTGCACTATTCAAACCCTTGAATCCAACTAATATTGCTACATTGTGAGGTTATGCACTAATACTAACATTAATAATGACATCAATTTATTATTATGATCACTTATAAAAATGATGACATAATAATTAGTGTAATCATGACTACTACTATTGCTGTGTTTCTTCAAAATAACAAAATATTTTTTTAAGAATTTAAAATATTGATATTCATATCCTACCTCCTGTGTCCTTGTACCTCTTAAAGTCAAATTCAAATGTTAAATGCAGTTAATAAAACATGGCATCTCAGCACTTACAAAACTGTATTCCTTTAGCAGATGTTTTTATCCAAAGTGACTTACAAATGAGGAATACTAAAGTAAATCAAGAAATAAAATGATAGAGAAAAACGAGTTTGGCTACAGCCCAAGCAGATTAATCTTCAAGCACAGTTTTCCCTCTGATTGTTCTCCAGAGATGATCATTTTAGGGCACTGCAGATAAATGCATCTGTTGCATTGTTATTTGAATTTCTATTGTAATGATTGCATGTTTTTTGAGAAAGCCTATACACATATACACCATTAAATGCATTCAAAATAAGATGTTCTTTGCTCATGTCCTTTTTCATGAAAATAAGATGCATATTGATGCATATTCTTATATGTGATTTACAAGGCATATTCACATTTTTTATAATGAACTGGCTTATGAAAAAGACACCGTGTTTCTATACACACTCTGTGTCTTTCCTCTGTTGCCAAGCCAGCTGGCAAACACTTCCATTTGCATGCATTAGCAGCATATTGCCATGGAGCTCAAAGGAGTACTGGGATTGCTGAATACAGACGAATCTGTAATTAGGTTCACAGCCAGTATACAGGCCCCAACTAATACAGAGAAGTTCCATTTTAGATGTACTAAATGCATCTTTATACTGCCTAAGGAGCCTGTGGGCCTAGCCATAAAAATGCATAAATGACATTTAATTTAGTCACACAGGTGCAAAACAAAATTTGGATCATCATTCCTATTCAAAGTCTGATACGTAGTACATTAGGTTGAATATTGCAATTAAATTAAACAGTCTTAATGAAACCTCTGCTCTGCTTGGCATACTTCCCAGGGCCTAATTATACAATATTACTTTAGGTTCATCAAGTGTGCAAAATCGTTCCATACTGTCTAACCCTTTGAGTAGACAGGAATTCATATTACATGCTGATATCAATAATAATGTTACTGGGAATGTAAAATATAAAAATATTCACATCAAATATTTAATTAGACAATAAATAATTCAGCATATAAACAACATACCAAACTGTCAACACTTAAGTAATAGCAGGGCATGTTATCACGCTACAGTATTTGGGGTGTCACAATGAAGCAGCCAGCAATTAATGGAATATTAAATTGCAGAGGTGTAAAGACCTAAAAATCATACTTGAGTAAAAGTACAGATACCTTCCAGTGAAAATTACTCCACTACACATTACAAGTCACCAATTCCAAAACAACCTGAGTAAAAGTCTTAGAGTATCTGATTTGAACAGTACTTAAGTATTTTACTTATACTAAATAGGCTCAAAGTTGCACTAGTCAAAGAGACATGCCAGTGAAAAACTGTATCGTTGTGGAGAAGCTGCGGAAAACAGGCAGAGGCAAGGATCTATGTGCTCTTATTTCATGGAAAAACTAGAACAAACAATAAGGCAAAACCCAAAGGGAACGAAGAACAGCATGACTGGCAAACAGACAACTATTACATTCAACAACTCACAAGGAACTAAAGAAAAACTAGGGCTATATATACACACGGGGCTAACAAGCTTAACAAGATAAGACACACCTGGGGAGACTAATCAAGGGGAACCAATGAACAAACGGACTACAAACTGACTACAAACACCACGGGAGACAGGAAGTGACATAAAAGTCCAGGGCAAGGCACAGAGAGCATGAAACAAAAACAAGAAAGAGTTGATTTGTGAGGAGAGCAATCACGTTTATTTTCTAAAACCAAAATAAAACTGAACACCTCAAAATTACAAAACAAACAAAAAACAATATCTTTCAAAAAGGTCTCTTCAGTATAATGGATAAATAAAATTATGTTAAGGAAAATTAAAAAGCCGAAACCTTCTTGCAGTGGATGTGCTGGTTTGGGCCTCATTGCCGGCTGCAGTCATGTCCTCATCTCTTATATAAACACCTGTGATTCACAAATACTTGCTAAGGAACTCGCATTCACATAAAGTAGCCTTGTTGAAAAGTTTGGGTGAGTAAGGGCAAAACGCACAAGATACAGTACTTTCAGTGACCTGGAATTGGCAATATCACGTCTTTTGTAGCAGAAATAAACTGCTGCAGAAAAGCATGCAAAATGTAATGTGTAACTGCCAATGTTGGGGAAAGTTACTTTTAAAAGTAATGCATTACAATATTGCGTTACTCCATAAAAAAGTAACTAATTATGTTACTTAGTTACTTTTTATGGAAAGTAATGCGTTACGTTACTTTTGCATTACTTTTTAAATCTGGACAGGGTTTGCTTATTTGATTTTAAAATAAAAAAGTTATATTTTTGGCAAATATAAAAGCCTTTTCACACCAAAAGTGAAATGAATAAGCCTCAGGCTGAAGGGAAAGTAAATTTACGTCCGTACAGTAGAATGCAGAAGAAGAAATTTCAACACACTTCAGCAATAAAAAAAGACACACAAATGTTTGTCTAGAGTAATTTGTGCTTATTAGTACGGTTGAACTGGATCATCGAAGGTCAGAAGCAAAGACATTGGTTAATAGAATGGGATTAAATACATAAAGGATATTTGCGTTGTTTAATTAACATTTAATTATTGCAGGTTTGCGTCATATTCTGAGTTGCATTATTTTTATTCATTTTGAGGAATACTGAATCTGTGTTTCTTTTTGTGGGAGTGAAATGAATTAATGCATATTCATATTTATTTTGAACTACAGTAGCATCTTCTGATTTCTCTCAACATGGGGACAGGAGAGCCGTCAATCAATACATTGAAAAAACAAAAAAAAGTAACTTGCGTTACTTATTTGAAAAAGTAACTCAGATATTCTCTTGTAAATTAAAAAGTAATGCGTTACTTTACTAGTTACTTGAAAAAAGTCATCTGATTACGTAACTTGCGTTACTTGTAATATATTACTCCCAACACTGGTAACTGCAACACTCATTTCAAATATAGTGGAGTAAAGAGTACAGATACTCTTTCAAAAATGTAGTGAAGTAGAGAGTAAAAGTTGCTAATATATTTGATACTCAGTACAACTACAAAGTACCCGAAAAGATATTCAAGTACAGTAACTAATTACATTTACTCCAATACTTTACACCTCTGTTAAATTTGGACATTTGAAACAGCATGTGAAGCCTTGCTCTGATCTGACATTTATTAGAAGTACTCTTAACCTGAAATCACAGTCCGAAATGTTAGTTAAAATCTACCTTGTCTGCATGTTTGCTAGTGTAGTGTTATTACAGAAATATTAAGAGCTTTTTGAACTAGGCGTTTGAACCCGACATAAAAACCATTTGAGAAAATACATAATTGTGTAACTGGACTTTTCAAACTCCTATAATTACAGAGATAAGGTAGCCTATGGCCTTTGTGCCAGATTCCATCTGTGACACCTGCCCTACGTACAAACACAAATACACGTAAATACGTCAAATTCCATATATATTCTATAATTTTATGATCTATACAATAACGTTTATTTTCACAGTACAAAGTGGGGCTTACTGAGACTTTCGTTTTTGCGATATTATGAGTCACGAGTTCCTCTTTAACAGGGAGTGGCGTCCAAAAACTGACGCGTGCGTGATGTAGCTCCTCCCAACGCAAATATACTCAAAGCTTAGCCCGACGAAAACAAGGAAGTAAGACGAGGAACTTTGAGCAAACCTTGTATTTATTGTCATATAAACGCAGAATTCGGTCTGTTGAAATTCTCGTCCCGTAGAATATATTATCTACAGTGAAGAACAATGAACAACAAAGGTAAATACGCGATCACCTCCGCTCTTCTGCTATTTTGCTTAGCCGCTTCCTAGCAACTACCAATGGAGTTAGCCAGCATAACTGACTTACATAACAAACGACTTAACACACTGAACTGATTATGATTATGTGCCAAAACATCTGCCATCGACTGTCTCCTGACGGACACTGTAGTATTTAACGCGGTAGTGTCTTTTTTTAGCGGACCGGGTAATGTTTTGGGCTGAAAACGGGTAAAGGGAGATTAGCTTGGCTGCTACAGCGCGATGACGTGATCGGAAAGGTGACCTCGTTAAGAAAGCGAGACGCTCACAGCATCAGTTTAATCATTCAGTTAATCTCATTTAAACGTGTTTCATCGATATACTGTGAGGTGTTTATTCAAGAACCGTTTGTCTTATTTTTTCTATCGTAATTTAGCTGTCAGTGAAGACTGGCCTTTTTGTCTCTTGTTTGTTTGTGTGAGGCTTAATGCCATTTATTGTAATACGTTTCCACATCCATATGTGTGACCCTAGACCACAAAACCAGTCTTAAGTGTCAATTCTTAGAAATTGAGATTTATACATCAATCGTAAAGCTGAATAAATAAGCTTTCCGTTGATGTGTGGTTTATTAGGATCGGACGATATTTGGCCGAGATGCGAATATGTGAAAATCTGGAATCTTGAGGGTGCAAAGAAATCAAAATATTGTGAAAATCACCTTTAAAGTTGTCCAGATGTAGTCCTTAGCAATGCTTATTAACAATCAAAAATGTTGATATAGTTTTGATATATTTATGGTAGGAAATGTACAAAATATCTTCATTGGATATTGTCTTTACTTAATATTCTAATGATAAAAAATCATTTTGACCCATACAATGTATTTTTTGGCTATTGCTACAAACATACCCATGCAACTTGAGACTGGTTTTGTGGTCCAGGGTCACATACGTCTTATAGAAAGCCATTTGTCAATTATCATTTCTGTTTTGTTCAATATCACAAAACCTTTAAAAAAAAAACATGTCTGGGTCACTTCAAAATTATTTTTATTCTTTTGGCAATGCATTTTAATTTTTAAAATGTAATCCACATTTCAAGCCGGTCTACTCTAGTTTAAGGAAAACCTCTGAATGGTTTCTCTTGGTCAGTATCTTTAGTACAAAACCAAAACATTGCTGGCTACTTTACAGTAAATCACCTTAAGCCTCTGTTGTGATATTAATTTTAAACCATCACCTGTCTTTTTTTTCTCCATTCAGGTTCATATCCACAATCTGTTTACCCTCAGCAGAGCACAGCACCCGTTTATCCGCCTGCTATGCAAATCCCTTCTCAGGTGTCTGCATATCCAGATGCCCCTCCTCCATACTCTGAGGTAACCAGTACAACTTACTCATTATGTCAATGTACAATATCTCATTAAAGCATTCAAGTGGGTCTTTTTACAATGTCACATTTTAATCTAGTACTATATAAAAAAAACTACTTGTTTTGGACGGAAGCATTTTCAAAAATGTATGTTTCATTACTCAAGATTGCATGCTAAAGATTCCCGCTAAAGATTCTAATAAAATGTATGTATAAAAGATGTAAATGTAATAAAAGATATCACTGTTTGATAAATTGTTAATTTCATTAACTATAACTTTAGGCTATTATACGGTTGCAGATTTGTGTTTACCTGCATTTTAAAATGGCTTTGAGTGCAGCTAATTAAAAAAAAAAAAACTTTTTAGATAAATTCTGTGTTTATTCCATACAAAAAATGGTTACAATAATTTACGGTTTCAAATTTTGAAATGTTTCCCCCTCGCAGGTTTATCAGCCCAGGTATATGGCTCCTCCCCCAGCCCCTGGACAGATGCCCCAAATGACCTCAGCTTACCCTGGTACTCAGATGTACATGCCCATGCATGCTCAGACTGTGCCAATGGGGGCCATGGCTCCTAATGTCCCAATGGCATATTATCCGATGGGGCCCATGTACCCCACTGGTTCCACCCTCATGGTGGAAGGCGGATTTGATGCAGGAGCTCGCTTTGGGCCTGGCACCAGTGCTTCCATTCCTGTGAGTATTCCCAGTAAACATCTAGGAAGTACTATGCATTTAGCAGCCTACAATTAAGGGAATAGTTCACCCAAAAACCGGAAATTTGCTAAAAACCCACTCTCAGGCCATCCAAGATGTAGATGAGTTTGTATCTTCATCAGAACAGATTTGTAAAAAATGTGGCTTTATATCACTTGTTCACCAATGGATCCTCTGCAGTGAATGGGTGCCGTCAGAATGAGGGTGATAAAATTACAATAATCCTCATGACTCCAGTCCATCAATTAATGGCTTGTGAAGTGAAAATCTGTGTGTTTGTAAGAAACAAATCCATCATTAAGATCTTTTAATTTCAAACCTTTGCTTCCAGCTAAATATGAGTCCATAATTATTATTAATGCCTCCAGTGAAAAAGTTGTTTAGTCTGAATCAGAAGAGAAATATGCACAGATCAAGCACAGTTTACAAGCAAAAATAGTTCTGTGGATTTTGATGTGAGAGGACAACAGGAGATGGACTTTTTCCGCTGGGGGAAGCATTATTATCATATTTTTGTCAGACACAATGGTTTAGTTAAAACATCTTCATGGATTTGTTTCTACAAACATGCAGCTTTTCACAAGATGTTAATTGATGGACTGTGATCTTTTATCAGCTGTTTGAACTCTCATTCTGATGAAATTCTAAATATCTGAAGAGAAATATGCACAGATCAAGCACAGTTTACAAGCAAAAATAGTTCTGTGGATTTTGATGTGAGAGGACAACAGGAGATGGACTTTTTCCACTGGGGGAAGCATTATTATCATATTTTTGTCAGACACAATGGTTTAGTTAAAACATCTTCATGGATTTGTTTCTACGAACATGCAGCTTTTCACAAGATGTTAATTGATGGACTGTGATCTTTTATCAGCTGTTTAAACTCTCATTCTGAGATGTGATGAAATTCTAAATATCACCAATTTTTTTTCAATGTAGAAACTATCTATATATCTTGGATAGCCTGATAGTGAATACATTTTCACCAACATTTCATTTTGGGGGTATTTATTCCTTTAAGCAAATCCAGTTGATGTTGCAGGACCTATTCCGATTTGATTTATTGAGATGTGGGACAAAACATTTTATGTATATGTTTATTAGGTATTTAAGATGTATTTAACCATGTCATCATAATATGTTAAGAAATTATTTAGGATTTTTAGATTATTTCCTTCATTTTGTACAAAATCAGGAAAATTATGTGATAAGGAAAAAAAAAATGTTTTCAACAAAGTCAGCTGTCAACCTGTAAGACTTTTTCGTGAGAATTATTTTATGAAAATAGAAGTAGGAGGTTGCACTAAACATGTTTACACATTAATAAAAAATAAATAAAAAACATCACAATGTGTTTTTTTTCACACTTCTGTAGCCTGTTTTGTCCCTTAACTCAACAGTCCACAATACTCAGTGTGAAATTCCTTTCAGGTTCAGTCTGTTCTGAGATATTATAAGTTATGACTTTACATTTTCTCTTGGCATAGATGTGCCTGAAAATGTAGCTGATGAAATATGTATTTGATTTACATATTTGTCTTCACATTCAAGCCTCCACCTCCTGGACACCTCCCTAACGCGGCTCAGATGGCAGCCATGCAAGGTGCAAATGTGGTGATGTCACAACGTAAGGGCAACTTTTTCATGGGCGGCTCCAGCGGCGGTTACACCATCTGGTAACAGTGAGCACCCCACTGGGCCTGGACCGAAGCCCTCCTTCCTTCTCCCTGGTTCCCTTTACCTGTTCTCCCACCCCTGCCTCCTTTGGGGCTGCTTGGCTAAGCCACAATACTGATTTAATCTAATGGAATGTAATATTTTAGAGCCCCTTACTCAAGGTACAATACGCCGCTGTTGATATAATTGTGTAATATCGCAATGACATAATGTATAACACAATTATTGCGTATTCACAATTAAAAAGCGCATGATAATTGTAAGTTGGAACTTCTAGTGATCATATGTCATCTACCATATTTATCGGTTGGCTAATTTAGAGAGTAAACAACTTTGAAGGTGAAGACCAGGTCATTTTTACCTTTACTGACTCTTACAACTTAATTTTTACAGTACATTTTCTAGTTTTTGGTCGTCTTCTTGAGCCAGAGATCATGCCAAGAGAACTGCCGAGTCAGTTTGATCATCAAGTAGCTATGCACTTGAAACTTTCTCTTTGAATAGTATGCTTAACTACGCCTTTCATTCATATTATTAAGGTCTTGTCAGATATGTAAAATGCAGATTTAAGCACTCTTAAAGAGAAAGATGTGTTTACAACTTCAAACAATGGCGGCGTATCGTACCTTTGGGCAAGCTTATATAAATGTTATCAGGTGCCAAAACTGCACCATTATTTAAAAGCAAAGGAATTTACATATGAATGAACCTAATTGCAGTAAAAGAGAGAGTGAACAAGATTAACTAAACTGGTTCAGAAAAGTAGGATTTAGTTTTTTTCAATATTTCCCTTCCAATGTCGGATACCCAGAGCTGTACATTTAGCCATTTCACTTAGTTTAGCGTGTGTTATGTGTGTTCCAGCTATATGTGCTTCTAAACAAAATTTTTAGCATTTTCCACAAAGGTAAAGTTGTTTACAGAGGTCAGGGCTTAATCAAGAGACAACTTAAATTCAGTATTTTAAACGATTTGGCACATCATGCTTTTTTTTTTTTTTTTTTTTGTGGGGAGCTGCTTGTACCAAAGATTTTCGCTTTTTGTAAGTCTTCTGTCATAGTACATCTGCACACAGATTCATACTGAAATAAATAAACATATCATATTTAGATGATGGTGATTGCTTTCCGGGCAGAGCAAACCACTGCCGTGACTGCATTTTCTAGGGGTTGTGTTTTAAAAATATATAAATGTTTCCTAGTTGCATCTTGATGTTTCTGCATGCACTTTTCAGTAGTTTTGTTCTTAATAAAGAATTTTCATTGTTCAATTTTTTAGGAGTACTACAGGATTAATTTGTGCACTGTCAACCAATTCTGAAATGTTTTTGCAGATTTCTTTTGTACATATGCATTTAAATACGAAGAGCGTCAGTTATAATTGGTTCTGCATTGATGATTTTCAAAGCAGTGCGGTAATACGTAGCAGCAAATACAACGGCTGAGAAATCGTGGTGTTTATTAGTAAATGTAATGCAAGGGATTAAAGTTTTGCTCTCGTCTCTAATGTGATTTTGAAAAATACCTATCAAAAAAGGAAGGAGTTACACCAGCAGTTGTCTCCACTGCTTTTTATGCTTCTAATTTATTTAATTGCGAAATCTTCATTTCTACTCCCAACAGTGATAGAATGACCTTCAAAAGCAGCCGTTTACTCTGCGACACTACACGCTTAAGCTCTGTAGCAGTTATCTGTATTAGATGTGACCGTAAATCTAAAATGCTGCTTATTTTGCTAGATAGCACAGAGGTGAAATGCTTATAAATGCTTACTTAGGTTTATTCTCCGTATATTCACTGGTATCAAAATTATTTTTGGTCACTATACTATATATATTTTCTGATTGAATTTGAAAATATAGGAAATGCTATGCTAGCCTGGCAAATGGGGCTAATTTTTTAGGCTTTACATGTATCAGGTGCATCACTGGGTATCCGACACTACAGTACCGTTCTAAAGGTTTTGCCCATTTGAATAAAAAAAGACCATTCAGGTAGATTTTCTCTCTGCAAATAAAGGAAATACATTTTTTGATGTAAAAAAGAAAAACCAAAAAAAAAAAACATGCCAAGTATGCTGGCATTGCCTTAGCACCATTTCTATAATTTTCTGTGACGTAGGCTTCTGACCTGGTAGTTTCCTAACCTGACTTTATGCCATTCCTTATTTAATCCCATTTCATTTATTCTTACTTTGCTAGGAAAATAACATAAGGCAAAAAAACATGGGGGCAAAGCCTTCAGAACTCAATATCCGTTTCAACTTAGCGCAGCATTTTATCATGGCATGTGGCACCGTGTGTTTGTGTATGCAATGTAGCGGATACACTGCTTATCTTGAGCCTCAATACCATGACAGTCATGGATGGTATACGTCTTTGTGGGCACTACAGTTCAGGGAACCCTTTTGATTATATATATATATATATATATATAATAAAAAGATAATGATGGGTTAGAATGGATGCACACTGCAGCATCAAGGAACCGAGGTCCTTCCTAGTTTGCTACATGACAAAATGGTCTCCAATGAAAATGTGGTGCACTTAACTTTTTTTATACTAAACCTTAAGTATAAAACAAAATTTAGAATAAAAGCTATTTTGAATTTTGACAATCGGTGTTGTAATATGTCTTTCAATGTTTCATGTTTATATTTTTGTATGCTGGTTTGTATATTTGGCGGTTTATCTCCAGGTCATTACAAATGTTTGTCAAAAGTCACCAATTCACATTCACTCCAATGCAATAATGACTCTAGATCTTGGAGATGATGCATTATCCAAAGTCTTAAAGGAAGTTAAATATCTTACAATATATCATTTTTGCACTGACAAAACTATTAGCACAGAATTAATTTCTAATTAAATCTAAATTTTTGTTTTACTAGCAATTTTCAACTAGCTAGACACTTGTATTTGACATTGTATTATAATCAATAACTGCAGTATCATATTGATAGAGCAATTAAAAAAATATTACTCAGAATCCGACATATAAATTACATTCATTTTCATAACAAGTAACATACCACTGTAACCCTGCACAAAAAAAATATCAAGTATCATATATGCATCTGATATTATGATCAGCATGTGTTTGTTTTACAAATAATGACAGCGGTATTATATTTGGCACTGTTACAGCATGCCTATGTAACAAAAATACATTTTGAATTATAAAATGTCAATAAAAAATAAAAGTAAAATACATTTAAATGTTTTACAAGGCACTGTAACAGTGGACTCTCCAACTATCCATAATCTAAGAGTTCTGCCAATAAAATAAATTTTTTTTTTAAAGTAATAAAAAGCTAGGCAAAATTATCAAAGTGAAAAGGCATGTTGAAAAGCCGCAAATTAACACTATATTGACTTAAAACCGAATAAAATAAAATTAGTACAGTGCCTCCAATGTTTTCCATTTGATAGAGGTGCAGTGCTACTTATGCTACCTGAACGCTAATAATAGCTGATAAAAACTCCATAATTACTGATAAATTATTTGTTGATAACTACTGCATATGAACTTTCTTGTCATTTCTGCTGAAGCAGCGAGTTTGTTTTTTGAGTGAACTATAAACTACATACAAAGGCATAACAATTTGACAGCAAAAAATGATTGTCTCAGTAACTGACAGTAACTTTACCATACGAAACCCGATGGTGAGCTTATTGACCTCATGAATAAACAACTTTTTACTTCTGGCTTATCCTCCCAACATAAAACTCGACCTGTATCCCTTCAACCAAACATTCTTTCATACAGCACAGACTAGTGGTTTATGTCCCATATGTCTTGCACATACACCTCTCTACATAGACTATTTAGATGTCTTCAGCAGTCTACGCGTATCGATCATGGGTTAAATCCCCCTGATGCTAAGCAGTTCAGATGAAGTATTCCTTCTTGTTTTCAGTGACGGTGTCATTGTAGACCTGGTCAGGGTCCACTCCTGGAGCAGGCTCACCTGCGGTTCTGTAAACACCCTTACTGTGGCACAAGTATCTGTACAGCAGGAACCCACAGATAACAAGAGTCAGCAGGATCAGGGCAATTGCCACTTAAAAAAAAGAAAAGAAAAATCATTTTAAACAGCCAGAAATATGCAATAAATCAAATGAAGAAAACAGTACTCTTCAAGGTTGCACTTTATTTTGATGGTCCCCTTTACACATTCTGTTGACTATACATAACTTTACACGTCAACTAACTCTCATTAGAGTACTAGTAGACTGTAGTTATTTACAGTTAATATAATGTCTGTTAAGAAGCCATCAAAATAAAGTGTTATCAGATATTAAGCAAAGACAGTCTACTATAATGCTATAATGACTGGTAGTTGCCAAGTTTCTTTTAGTAAACAAAAAAAGGAACCATTAAAAAATGTGTTAACCTCAAAATATATTTAAAAAAAAAATATATATATATATTCTGAAAGTAATTTTAGAGGCTTTAGAATGAAGATATACAGTAAGTATAATTAAAATCACATATGATTTAAGAAAAAATTCAAAGTTGTGCATGTTTCATATGGCATTATAAATAAATACACAATATATATGAAATAATATATGTAATTGATATAATATAATAAAGTATGATATACACAATCCAACCTGACAGATAATGCCAAAACAAGTCAGAATAAAAGTCGGCAAAATAATTGAATTATTGTTATATAATAAATAAACATGACAGTTTAAAAGTTTTGACCTCTTTTGAGGAAATGAATACCTTTATTCAGCAGGGATGCATTAAATTGATCAAAAAGTAACAGTAAAGACATAAAATGTTATAAAATACTTCTATTTCAAATAATGCTGTTCTTTTGAACTTTCTATTCATCAAAGAATTATGAAAAATAAGTCTATTGTGGTTTTCATAACAATATTATGCAGTTTTCAACATTGATAATAATAAAGGTTTCAGCATATTAATGATTTCTGAAGGATTATGGGACACTGAAGACTGGAGTAATGGTTATTGAATAGTCCGCTTTGCAATGACAGGAATAAATTACCCTTTAAATATATATTAAAATAGAAAACCGTTATTTTAATAATAATGGTAGCAATATTACTGTTTTTACTGTATTTTTGATCAAATGAATGCAGCCTTGGTGAGCATAAGAGATGTCTTTCAAAAGAAAATCTTACAGTACAATATATAAAACTGATCACAAGCACAAATCTGGGTGCAAACTGGAAGTTGTACATGACGCATGACCCAAACCAGATCCAAAGGCTTGAAGCTGGAGTCAGGTGGCAAACCTCTAATATGTAACATTATCATGACACCTGCTGGCAAACACTGTGTATATTGTGTATTCCTTTACTATCGCCACAAAAGCTTTCTAGGATTGTCCAGCACAATATATAATTCCTTGTCAATAGGGTAATACACTAGACGTCAATTACCTCCAATGACAGTCATGCCTGTTTGCGGTGGAGCTGCAGTTGTTGATGCAACATCTATCCATGAGAAAAAAACACAACACTGAAGGTGACACACAAAACCTGTATGTCAAGATTACATGCAGTAAATGTGGAATTACAACCATTTCCAGCTAGAGAGACTGTTCCGCATTGTTGAGGAGTAATCAGATTAGGAGAAATGCAACATGGCACGGTGTTAGGCATTAACTGTGCATAGATTTTATTTAATGCTTAAGCATCGCCTCCAATGAAACATTTCTAGACCCAAATGAGGTCAGTTTAGACTAGTGTACAAGTATTAAGTAAGCAAAATAAATAGTGCTAGTGCCCAGATTATGTTACACCAGCCTATTACAATGTTCAGATTCAATGTTTGATATGAGTGACACACCCGAAGCCTGTGAGGGAAACTTTTAATGCTCTTCAAGCAGTTTGCTCTTTATATTAGAAGACAAAGTGTAGAACTTACCAGTAGGTGCAATGCTAGTCATGGTGAAAGTCATAATTGTATTGAAATGGACACCTATATGGAGCAAAATAAACAAGTGTTGACTCATTTCAACATGAAAATTATAGTTCCAACTGTTACTTTTTACAAATATGTGTTTCTGGAACAGACGATGACTTAAGTAAACTTCCGTTTAAAAATGAACTAAATGTGGACAAACATCACTGGGATGTGAGACAGATGTACTGCATCACTCAACCTGTACAGTGTATGTCCCATTGAGGCCTATTGGTGTTGTTTGAAAAGAGGGACACTTATATGTGGGTGGAGGAATAGGAAATTGTGTATTCAATTTTATGTGTTTCTGGAACAGACGATGACTTAAGTAAACTTCCGTTTAAACATTAACTAAATGTGGACAAACATCACTGGGATGTGAGACAGATGTACTGCATCACTCAACCTGTACAGTGTATGTCCCATTGAGGCCTATTGGTGTTGTTTGAAAAGAGGGACACTTATATGTGGGTGGACGAATAGGAAATTGTGTATTAAATGTCCAGGGACGTAAATATCATTATGACTTTTAGAAATGTCTACATCTTGACTTTTTGAAAGATAAGTACTTTTCAAAGACTCATGTAAACCTGCTTTTTAAAAACAATTCTACAGCTATACATCACAGCTTAAGGGTCATTCTATAAAACGGGTGCTTCTAGTTTGAGATGGTAATTTTTGAAACATTGTGATGCATTGCGTAATTATAAATTGCACATTATTAATTGCACATAATTGCTATTTCAAGCTAAATTAAAGGTATAGTTCACTCCAAAAAAAAATCTCAGGTTCACTCACTGCTCACCCTCAGGCCATCCAAGAGATGAGTTGTTTTTTTACGTTAAAAACATCTTGATGGATTTGTTTCTTACAAACAAGCAGCTTTTTGATTTACAAGACTTTAATTGGAGTCATGTGGATTACTGTGATGTTTTTATCAGCTGTTTGGACTCTCATTCTGACGGCACCCATTCACTGCAACAACCCCATCAACATCTTGGATGGCCTGAGGGTGAGTGCATTTTCAGCAAATTTTTATTTTTGGTCAAATGTTTCTGTAATGCTTTTTTACATATTTTGGACCACAATTAAGCTTGTTTTGAAATAGTAATGTGATTGACAAGCATACAACAAAAAAATACACTGTGTTTGGAATTTCACTTGACAATGACAAACTATTTTATTTATTGAATTACTATTTTGAAAAATGAAAAATGATGCTCCCCATAACATAGGGACACAACTTCAACATCTTTTTAATAATATATGGAGATATTATTATTATTATATATTACAACGACTATATATATAATAGGATAAAATGCTATGCCAGGTCAGATAAGGGATGGTGAAAGATAAAATAATTTATTTTTCTTTTTTTATGCTGTGGTAAGGTAACATGTCAATATTAATATACATAAATGTTTGCATTAGCTTTTCATTATTTAACTAATATTTACCCACTTGCATATAATGTACACAAACGCACCCGTTTTGTCTATTGACCCTTAAAGTTGTAAATAAAACAGTCACAAGTCTAAATTGAATCAACTTTACTTCTTACAAATCTCGCAGGGTTAAAACACAACGCTCATTTTAAACGGTTCTCATTGTGATGTACGCTAGCCAGGTAACTTACACCACACACAAAGCTAGAGGTGCGCACCGGCGAGTTTGTTTGTTTGTAGTAGAGACAACCTAAAACTGTAATCCACACGATTCCGTTTATTTGATTTGATCGATAGTAGTCGGAAATCCCCTCTCACACTGTGAACGATCACTTTAAAGAGCTGTAAAACTCATAATCAGCTGTTCAGCCATTCGAAACCGTCAGATGTAACGTTGCTTCCAGCCCAACAGGAACCAAAAAAACTTACCTGCTTGAGTGTCAAAGTCGCGGATAAACTACTTTTAGTTGAAGATGCAGATCACTATTATCAAAGTTAAACTTCAGACCGAGAAATCATGGATAGTAAGCAGTGTTCAAGCCAAAGCAGAACAGTATGAAGCCGCCACAAGCTCATCCACAAAACTGTCTTGAGTGCGCGATGTCCGATTTGTGAAGGAATCGTTTACTTGATTCGGATCTTTGAAGTGAATCAGTTGAACGAACTGGTTCACATTTCCAAACTGAACGATCCGTTCACGAATAGGACTGAATTCTGAGCGGGTTTCGAGTCAAAACCGCTGAACGATTTATTCGAACACAACCGTGATAAACCTGGATTTGAAAAAGTGCTGGAAGTAGGTTTACAACTTGAATGTATGGCAGTTTTATCAACGCACTTACAAACATGGCCTACACAAACAGAGTCCCTTAATGTAAAATAACTGCATTTATTTATTTTTTACTATTTTATTCAAACATGTCAATTTTGTGACTAAACTATATAAGTACTGTTTAGGCCTAATGTAGCCTAAACGCAAAAACAAATGTTTGGTTATTAAATGATTTTATGTTTTCATGAGCTATATCATAGCTGCAATAAACTGAACTGGGGCACATAAAATAAAATAAAAACTCACTAAAAAGGGAATAGAAAAAAACTAATAAACTACATTTCGCTTTTATTAGGACGTTTCATTACGTCCAGATGAAAGGTGATTTGGATCATTAGTTTAATTGCTTAAGTGCGTGATGAAAAAATGTAAAAACAATAGGCAACTGAGTGGCAAGTAAATTTGTATTAATTTATTTAATGATGGATGATTGTCAAGTAGCCTACGTTATAAACATTTGTTCCTTTGATCAATTAGATACATATAGGTCATATAGGCTATTGAGTTATGTATCTAAAAACATTCAAATCCTGAAGGAAGACCACCACATACAGTAGGATAAAAGACAATCCATGAAAGTGATTATATTCTAAAAAAAAAAAAAAAAAAGCTGTTCTTGAATTAAACCCCAGAATTTAAATATTTATCTGAAAAAAAAAAAATCTCAAAAGACCAAGGAGGGAAAAAAAAATACAAGAGTACAGCATTTTACATCCTCTGTTGGGTCCGATTCCAGTGTATTGCCAATAAACTCTGTGTCTTCTCTGTAAACAGATATGAAATTTAAATGAGAAACACATGAAACATATCAGCACAACATGAGTGTGAGTTGGAAGTGCTCTCAAATTATGCTGACCTTTTGTCTGCTATTTAGGGGTCTCTGTTGTCGCTCCCTCCTTCACCTCTCCTGACGGATGGTCACCCTTGGTAAGAGCCTTGAAACAGGTCAAACAAATAAAAATTATACCTTATTCGGAGTTATATTTTGGTTTCTTTAAGAATGAACATAATGGTTATGTTCAGAATGAAATACTAGCCTGCTAAAATGACTGAACACTGCAGTATACTGTATACTATCTAATATGTTTTTCAAACCGTACATAAAATAGTAAGAGCCATGAAAGGAATTGTTCGGAATTGTTAAAAAGCATGGCTATAAATACCTACGGGCTCATTTGCCAGACTGCAAATGAAAATGTTACAACAGATTTTTACTTTCTATTCATCAAAGAATCCTAAAAAAAAATGAAATACTGTTTCCACACAAATATTAAGCAGTACAAACGATTTCAACATTGATTATAATAAGAAATGGTTTTTGAACACCAAATCAGCATATTATAATGATGTCTGAAGGACCATGTAACACTGAAGACTGGAGAAATGATGCTGAAAATTCAGCGTTGCCTTCACAGGAATAAATTACATTTTAAAATATATCAAATGTAATTCTGTTTTTTACAATATGAATGTTTTTACTGTATTTTTCATCAAATGATGCAACCTAGGTGAGTGAGTATAAGAGACTACAAAACATTTTAAAAAATCATAATTATTCCAAACTTTAAAGTGTAATGACAAACAGTAGTTTTTGTCTCTCTCTCTATAATATGCACTTATGTATTTTATAATGTGTTTGCACCTTCACAGAACTCACATTGTTTGAAGCCTCAGCTTGTTCCACATCTGATTTAATGTCACGAGCTATTCCATTCTCCACACCTGAAGGCCCATCGCTCCCCACCTTCTCAGGTGATTTTTGATCTTTGATCTTGGCGCTTTCAGCGATATTTGAGTTTGGTTTCAGTTCATTCTCATCACTGTCCTCCTCAGAAGACTCCTCCTCGTTTGGCGTCTCTTGATCGGAGGCTTGCGAGGACTTCTTTTTGGCTTTCTTGTCTTCCTCCACTGGTTTATCTTCAGAGTAGCAGGTGTTATCCGGCTGTGGCTCATGGGGCGAGGGACCTTCCTCTGTAGGATAATCTAATCTTGTAGGGCTGCCTTTTGCATCTTTGGCACCAGAGACGTTCCCATAAAGGGGTTGAGGGCTGGTGGGGCTTGTCTGCTTAGGGCTGTATGACCCATATGTTGGTCTGTCAGACCTAAAACTAGATGAGTTGTCTCTCCTGTAATAGAAAATGTGCAGAGAAATATGTTTGAATCTTATAAGAAATATCCCGACAAAGATACCACATTATTCTTATTCTGGCCAAAATAGATTGTATTAAATAAATAAACATACAACCACTAGTAAACAGGCACTTTGTGTAATTTTAGACTTTTGACTTAACATTTTAGAGTAACTCATTGCTTGAACCATAAATGGCAACACTTGTCTTTACATTATTAATCATGCACATTCACCAGCAGATGGCAATAGTTCTTTCTAAATCTACAAGGCAACGAGAGAAACTGAACTGATGATTTTTACCTTAGAGATCCCCTGGGGTTGTAGCTCATGTGGAAATCATAAAAGCTTTTAAGTGATCTTGGGGACAACGTGTCTCTAAATGACCTTCTCTTCAAGGAACCAGCACTTAAAAGGAAAACAAAAAGAGTAATTTGGTAAAATAAAGTATTATACTACTGATATTTAACTTAAAAATATATGGACGAACAGACTATAAAGCCATATACCGGTTGAAGTTCTTCACGACAAAGCTCTTGTCTGGATACTGGGTGCTCAGCTCTTTCATCACAGTCTGTAGAACCTCATTGTTCTTGATGCCAAAACAGAAAAAAATATATATCTCGGGTAGTTGCAGAACATGAGGAATCACTTTTTTTGTTTGAGCCGAGTATTTTATTTTAAATCATTTGGTTAACCTTGGTAAGTTCCTTGTAGAAGATGTCTCTGAGGTTGCAAATGGCTTGGAAGACTGTGACATAGCATCCAATGCGACTACAGAATGCAGAACAAATGGGAATTAATAAGGGTAATGGACATTAAGATTTAAACCAAATCTACAATAAAAATAACTCAAAAAGTCACCTGTCAAATAGAAGAGGCAGTTCCAGCTTCAGCTCCCTGTTCATGTCCTCAAATATCACCTTTGCTGCGTTCATCTCATCCTCTGCCTATAAAAACAACAGCACCAAGGAAAGTCCTATACATTTGGTCTTCATTCAATCTGAATCATGTCAATATGTTGCTAGAAATTATTTCATGTTTGGTGGAACTTATCAGTAAGCCTATGAACAAACTTACTGGGTGAGTGTTTCTCTATGTCGGGCAGAATATTCTGAAACATGTCATATAATACCTTTCCAATTTTGATATCATCCTTCTTTTTAGCATTCTGCAGCCCTGTCAGGTGATGGCGAGCAGAATCATTGTCTACGAGTTTCCTGTTTCGCTTGGCCACCTTTTCCTGAATCATGAAGAAAAATAGTTTACAAACTGCATTTAAAAATGATTGAAAGCTTTGTGCAAGCTGCATTTGCCAGTATGTGAGGCAGCCGTCGTTACCCTGACATCTGGAAACTGGCTCATGTAAGACTCCGTTGTGATTAATGCCTGATCATGCAGCTTGTCCTCATAATCTTTCCACAGAAGGTCTTCTCCCTTTGGAACACAGAGAGCAACATTTGTATTAATATAGGTAATTATAATTGAAGTGTGTGTGTGTGTGTGTGTGTGTACTTGTTTATGCTACATTGTGGGGACCAAATGTCCCCACAAGGATAGTAAAACCTGAAATTTTTGACATTGTGGGGACTATTTTTGTTTTTAAAAATAGTAAATGTTTTCTGTAAGTGGTAGGTTTAGGGGTAGTGTTGGGTTTATTGATAGAAAAAAAACATTTGGTCAGTATAAAAGTAATAGTCATCAATGGAAAGTCCCCACAATTTACAGAAACAAACGTGTGTATGTGTGTGTATGTGTATACACACACATACATACACACACACACACACACACACACACACACACACACACACACACA